AAATTCATTGAAAACATTAAAATACGAAAAATAAAAAAGTAGAATTTTTTGAAAACTATTTTCTAAAAACTGAAACTAAACAAGCTGATTATCTTTTTAAAAAAAAAATTAATTTATTAAAATAATTAAAAATTAAAATGGTAACTTCTCACCCAACTCTACCACATTAATTTATCTAAGATACCGCTTCTCCCACGTGGGTCCCACAGAAAAAGCCAACACGAAGACCAAGACGACGACAACCACGACGACGCTATAACGCGCCGGCTTCGGTGTCAGTGTATGTGTCTGTCTTCTTTTTGGAACACAAACAAACAACCCCACCACCGATTTGAGTCGTCGTGAAACTCGACTACTATGCTCTGCCCACGTGAAAATGGACGCCTGGAGGCTGTCCATTGGTTGCATGTCGATGTCACACCATACTCCTCCAGTGGCGGTGTGCAATCTTGTCCATTAGATTACAGACCATGAAATGACTGGGTCCCACTAAAACCGGCCGCCGCGCATCCCCACAATCAAAGAAATGGGAAACACTTTTACACGTGGACCCCCCATCCTTTGTTTCTCCACTTTTATTTATTATATTTTTTTATCCGATAAAAATAAAAAGGATTATTTGAGATAAATTAAATAAGTATCACCTTGCTTGGTTTCAAATTTTTTAAAATATTTTTCAGAAAATTTTATTTTCTTATTTTTCGTGTTTTTTATTTTTACTGATTTTTTTTAATATTTTAAGCAATTCTTTTACTTTCTAGACACACCTAACATAAATACACATAAAAAGTAAAAAAATTGTAAAAAAAATCTTTTAAAAATTCACTAAATACCAAAAATATAAAAAAAAATATCAGAATTCAGTACATTTTTTGTATTTTTATGTATTTATTAATTTTTTAAAATATTTTTTCACAAACTTTTTATTTTTTAGATACATCTAAGTAAGGTGCATCTAAAAAAGTAAAAAAATGTTTAAAATTTAAAAAATATTCACTAAAAAAAAATACAAAAACTAAAAAAGTCAATTTTCAAAAAACTTAACCCAGAAAATTCAAACCAAACACAGTGATAGAGAGATGATATAACTTAATAAGATGATGTGACTTAAATAAGATAGTAACTTTTTAACTTTTTTTAACTAGGACAATACAAGCCTAAATATCTAATATCAACAAATTACTAAAAAAATACTATACACAATATTTTTATTTTTGATTAGGAGAATGAAATTTTTATACTTGAATTCAAATATATAGTTTGATTGATCGCTAAGAATTTGGTATTTTTCACTATGCTAATCTTTGCACTTGATTTGAATATATGTATATATATATATATCATAATTATTAGATTTTGTGATATTCTTGAATTTTTTTTTGATTAATTATATGTACATTTTTTTTCTTAAAAAGTGAAGTAAGTAAAAGGTTATGGCCATTATTTCCCAAACATTATTGATGATGAGGAACCCATTGTCGCGAGTATTCTGAATATTTATTGTGATTTAATTATATCCACTTATTTTTTTCATATTAAAAATAAAGCATAAGAAACTAAAAGGGAGGGAATATTATTTCCAAAATATTATTGATAATGAGATCACTATCATCTTGTGTGTCAAAGTTTAGTTTTTTTTTATTAATGTCTTTCAATTTTATAATTAGATTATTTGCTTCAATTTGTGAGCAAAACTATTATATTACATCCTAAATTTAGAATTTAAAATAAGATTGGCTTCGTTGTGATGTGGATTAACTTTTTAACTTTTTAACTCTGAGATACTTTTTTTGAATTTTTTAACTTTCATAAAAAAAAATGTGATGATTATAATTTAACTATGACAATTTTTAACTTAAAATTAAAATGTCTATTTTGATTTTTTATAATTAAAATAGCTTCAATTTCATCCAAACTCGCATGCCAAACAAGCACAAAGATATCTTAGATTTTCTCATCTAGATATGGTAGATTTTCTCATCTGATTAAATACTTTGACCTTTGACCACATACCTTATTTAAGTTTGAGAACTTAAGCAATAAAATCAAATGTTAAAAAATTTAAATTTTTTTGAGCAAATTTCAAGGGTCAAAATTATATTTTCCAACCTGACAAAAATGTGAAAAGACAGTCAAAAATTTATGAGGTGAACATAAAAATTAATTAAATAATACTATACTTATTATATTTTAACACATCAAATTCATCATAAGAGAAATGGCTGGTAGCTCGAAACCTCGAGGCTCAAAAATGGCTCGAAATCAAAACGTCGCCGTTTTGATTCGATTTTTTTTTTTTTCTTTTATCTGTGAAACGCAAGAAGAAACGCAAGAAGAAAGAGAGAAAGAGAGGGAAGGAGGGAGAAAGAGAGAGGAGAGAAGAAAGAGAGAGAAAGGGAGAAAGGGCGGAGCCGATCTGATCTTCCTTCCTCTTCCACGATCTGATCTTCCTCTTCCACTCTGCCCTCGCCATCACCGGCGACTGCCACACCGGCAGATCTGTTTTTTTTTCTCTCTTTTTTTTTTTTTTTTTTTTTTGGATCTGAAATTTTTTTTTAAAAAAAAATTGTTGATGAAGATGTGTTCGTGAAGATCCAGATCTGAAGGTAGGAAGATCAGATATTTTTTTTGATCGGCCAGATCTGTTTTCTCGGCATTTTTTTTCTTCTTCTTCTACCTTTTCTTCTTCCTCTTCATCAGAAAAACGCAGAAAAATTGTATGCGTGTGTGGGTGATTTTGCTGCTGCTGTTGTGTGTGTGTGTGGGGGTTTGGGTTTGATTTGTGTGGGTGGTTTTTCAGATTTTCCAGATTTGTGATGATGTTGATGAAGATGCTCATAATCTGAAAATTTGTGATGATATATTGATGAAGATGAAAAAAATTTGGGTCTTTGTGGACTTCTTCAAAAAAACGCGAAAAAAATAAAATAAAATAAAATAAAATAAAATAGAAGAAGACACCAAAACGACGTCGTTTTGGTGTCAAGCCACAGTTGGGCCACAAAGTTTCGAGCTACGAAATGGAACTGTTCATCATAAAACCCAATATGAATTTGAGCTACACAAGTTTTATTTTGCATTTTTCTTTTCAATTTTATGTGCGCCTAATATTATCAAGGGACAATTTTAAACAGTTGTTTCAGAAAAAAATTAATTACACATCAATGAAAAAATTTATATTATTAATTATTAATATTTATAATATTTTTTATTTGTTTGTAAATTATTTTTTACTAATGTTAGGAATACAAAGACTACATTCAAGTGTCTTATTTTGTATTTGATTGTATATTGACTTAAGTAATGTTAAGTATCATGAAAGAAATATCATGAAAATTTTATACTATTAGATTACACATATAATAAAACACCTACACTAATCAAAGAATGAAAAATATTCAAAAAAATATTTTATAATATTTCTTTCAACATACCTAATATTATTCTTTAGACTTACTAAAAATTCAATACACATTACATCTTTTTACAATTTTTACATATTTTTATACATTTTTTACACAAATATGGTGATAAAATAAAAATATTTGAACAATCATCATTAGTATTATTGTGCCATTCTTTAAAGTTGGTGTTATTTTTCACTACATTTGTACATAAATTACATTAATCCCAATCAAATCCTATCGCCATAATTGATTGGGGGTTTGGGGATATGATTAGACTAGTGGTTCCATATATCCCACCTAGAAGAATGTCATGGTTCCTCCACGATAGGATTAACATTCAATTGCGAATTCAATCACATGAATTTATGATTAAAAGATAAATTTATCCTTTTACTTTATAAAAATAATAAAATTATGTGACAAGTGATAAAAATCGTAACAAAAATTTATAAATTTAACAAAATTAAGATATTGTTTGTCATGTATTAAAAAAATTAAAAAATCACTATTCTATTTAAGTCAAATCATCTTATTTAAATTACATTAACTCTCTCCTACATCACTTCAAACTTAATCCAAACCTAACTCATATTTCATAAAAAATCAAAAAATATACTTATTTCCTAAATCGCCCCTAATATTACTACACTATTATATAAATAATAACATTTTATTTTATATTTTCAATTAAAGACCATCACACTAATAATTTCATTACCCAATTCATTATAATCATGATCTCATTTAAACTAAAACTTAATCTGACAAACAAATATTATCGCATTTATAATATTTAAAGTTATACAAAATGAGGTAGTAAAAGGGTCACATTCTTTTCTTTTTCTTTTTATTTTTCTTTTTCATTTTTTTTTGTTGTAAAAATTACAAAAATAAAATATCATTTTAAAAGAAAATTAAGAAAAAAAAAAAGTAGTATTCAAATAGTAATACATTTATTACTAATAATGTTATAAGAAAAATAAGTGTATTTTTTAACTTTCTATAAAAAAATATGTAAAAAAATAAAAAAAAATATTAATTAATGTGACCTAAAAAAATAAAAAATATAAAAAATATAAACTTAATTTCTACTCAAACTTGGCTTAAACTTAGGGGGGCAAGACTGACGTTTCCCCAAAAACGGACGGTGCAGTTACACGTGACGATATTAGAGAATACCGACACGTATCTCGTCAACAACAGAATAATTCGTGGACCCCACTCCCTCGCCCCCAAAACAACCGGCCCCTTGTGGTCCTGTCACTTGTCGGTGCGGTGCCGTCTTTATTTTTACAAAAAAATGTTATTATTATAATAACCAGACAAAAAATTATCATGAATCACTCTTCACGGGCCTCTACTTTATCATACTCATTTTCAGCCGTCAGATCACCCCCCTTTCCTCGAGATCCGTGTAAATATATATTCACTCAGTCAATCGCAAAAATAATAGCCTCCCTTCTAGTGCGCTGTCCGTACAACTATTGGGTGGGGGGGACCTTTGCTATCGTACGCCTTTATCTCCTGTGCGCAGTGCGCAGAGTCATTATTCAAACCAGAACAATGAAATCGAAACGAAATGGATAATAATAATAATCGAAATGATTAAGTTTGTGTTTTTATAGAATTGTTTAATCGAAACAGAGAGAACACAGATCTAAACTAATTACAAACAAAGATATCGTAACCAACATCTGAGAAATTTATTTCAAATTCTCAATTGCAAAAAAGAGAGGTTGGTTATGGTATATTTACATAAATATTTATATCAGCACATCGATCGATCGTGAGGGTGACTCTCTCTAGATTCTCACTTGAAAAAAAAAAACCTCTTTGTTTTTCTGTTTCAATTCGGAAACAAAAGGATTGAAGTTATAACGGAACGATGATCGGAAGTTTGCCGGCGGAAATGGAGGTTCCGGTGGATCAGGCATCTTCCGGCGGAGGAAGGTTAAGATCGAGACCGTGGAGGAATTTGCTCGACGGACTACGGTCAGCGTCATTATTATCTACGACGGAGGAAGAATCGGAGTCGCTCTGGACACCTCCGGCGACGGTAGGGTGAAAATTCGGGACCTTCCGGTCGAATCTGTACATGTTAAGGTGGTTATTCAAGGTCTCGGATCGCGAGAGAGCGTCAAAGAAGAAAATCGGACGCGCCGTCGGGAAAACGCCGGAGAAGTGTGCTCCGGCACCGCCGAGATGTGACAGGTTTAGATCGAGCGACGGCGGAGGGAGAGGAACGGCGGCGATCGGCGGTGCGTAGCTCGACGATTCGACGGTACTGCTCTGACTAGGGCTCCGAGTGGTGTTGACGACGGTGATCTTGTTGCTGTTGTTGGCCGCGGCGGCGGTGAGAACAAGTTCGGATGGGGTAGGGAAGTTAGTCTTAGCCTTGGCACCGCGGAACTCCCTCGCCGCCGTATCGTACGCACGCGCCGCCTCCTCAGCTGTGTCGAAGGTGCCGAGCCAGACGCGGCTCTTCTTGCCGGGATCTCGGATCTCGGCGGCGTACCGTCCCCACGGCCTCTTCCTCACGCCTCTGTAGCGAGTTTCCTTGCCGTTGACGGCGGCTATAGTGGCTGTTTTATCTCTGGGAGCCATGTTTTGTGTTCGGAGTTTGGGGAATCGCGACAGGGCTTGATGGGGAAAAGAGAGACAATTTGTGAAGATAAAAGAAGGGCGAAACAGCTGTTTTTATAGATGGGAGTGGTAAAAGAACGGCCCTGATGCCACGCTCCATCGCGGAGCGTTCATGACTCAAAACGTGTGAGCACCTCAAATCAAACACTGTCACGTGTTCTTTTTTATTAGTAATATATTTTTAATAAAAAATTATAATGTTTGATTAGTCAATTTTTTATGGTGTGTGTCATCTTGTAATCATTTTATAAATTCTTTATATTTATATTTGTTAGAAGAATAATGTTATATGATTAATTTTTTGTTATTTAGATTAAATTGTAATGTCTCCCTTAAACCAGTTTGATGTATCCTTTTATCTTTTGAATTGTTAGGATTATTTTTATTTCCTCTCTAAATTAGTTTTTTTTTTTTTTTTTGGGGTATAATATGGCGGAAGGAGGTGGCCCGTCTATTATGTCTACGGTACTTTCAAATGTTTGTTAAACTTTGTTATATATTTTTATTTTTTGGTTATAAAATATCTACTAAACAGAAATATGTCACCATTATGTTTATCTACGATTAACGGGTTGGGTTGACAGAAATTTATTAATGTAAAGAAAATGTGAGATTCTGTAAAGGCATAAGAATTAAAATAAAATTTTAATAAAAATATAGTGATCTTAATGAGATGAGAAAATTTTACAACCGGCTCATGACAAGTTTTGCTAGTTTTAATTTGACTTAAAATGTAAACAGTTAGCTGCTTTAAGTGAAAATTGATCAATAAAAATGAATTTTTTGTGAAAGCATACCTGTTGACATCATAAATATTACTATTATTGCAGAACACATGGTATTTTCTTGATCAATCAAGGGTTAAGAGAAGTTACAAAGTTAATGGTCTTGCATGGTGGAACATGAAAGACAAGGTAAAAGAAGTTAAAGCACATGTGACGAATATGATGGACAAAGTGACTTAATTGAAGATATGGAGGGATATGTGGCATTGTGAGAATGAAAGTGAAAGAGTAGGTAGTTTTAGGTGGTTATTAGATAGTTATTACTTGAAATTTTTTCCTATAAATAGTCATTGATGGCTACATTTGGGGGACCAAAACCAAATTCAGAAACCAATTAATTATTACTTTATATTTTTTTCTTCCAGTTCTTTACTTTCCCGCACTGCATTTCAATTTCTTAGGAGTAGTTTTAAGTTAGTCTGTTCATTGCTGTAATTCCCTTCGAAACTATAGAAGTGTGAAGGTACTATTGTAAACATTTGTTTACTTAATGAAATTCAATTTTTGACACTGTTATCTCCTTCCTTCCTTTACTCTTTTGATTAATTCTTCTAAGTTTTCTCCTAAAACAAGTCACCAGTAAAAGTTCTCTTCTTTGAGGCTAAAAGAATTTCGAAACAATTATCTAATTAATTAGTTGGCATTTACTATTTATGTAAGGACTTATTGGCCTTTATTGGCATGGTCAAATTACATTTCTAATCTTCGAAAGCTAAAAAAGTCAACAATACCACAGCTAATCAATTTCATTTTTACTAAAGCAATAATGGTATATGAAACAATAATTAAATAAAATTACATTAATGTGATAGCCATAAGTACTATTCAAAAATATATTTTTTATTATTGAATAGATACATGTTGTATTTTGAGAATATTAAATAGCTTCTTTATGGCCTAGAGTTATGTAATAAATTTTACTGACTAATCAAAACTCTCCACATATAAAAAAAAAAAGAGTATTGTTGAAATATATATATACATATATATTATAAAAAATGCTTGGAGCTCTAATTGATTACCCCCAATCCACTTTAATGATTTGTAATGGATCATGTCAAGGGAGGACCCGTATTTCTCTCTCTATCTCTATTTTCTCCGTATTTCACATCATTAGAGATTGATGTGGGTCGAAAAGCATCAGGTTGAGGTCGCTTAAGTTATATTTATAGTCTTTCAATTTGGTTTATTTGGTGGAGATAATGTGTTTTGTGCACATGTACAGATTTGGTAGGAAATACGCAAATTCAATAAAAAAAAAAAGGACGCGAAAGCAGATTCTTTGGGCGAGAAGCGAAAAATCTGAACCAGCCACCTCACCACACATACAGCCAAGCTTCACCGCACGTGCGGCCCACCATCGCTCGAGCAGCCCACATGGGAGCTCGAGCGGCCCACCTAGGATTGCATGCGTGAAATTTTAAGGCTCTTCTGCTGGGAATAAAAGGAAAAAAAGGAGATTGAAAGAGGGTTCGGAAATTATTCTAAGGAAATGGAGGCTAGGGTTTTGAAAATGTGATTTTTCTGCAAGCTTTAAGGAGAACTTTCATGGGGTTTACTTCATCTTCCATCTCTTCCATCTCCTCCATGAGTGGCTAGGCTCTTCTTTTCTAGGGTTTTGATGAAACCCTAGCCATGTAAAGGGATTTTTCTTGAGCTTTGATTGTGAAACGGTTTGAACAAATGTATGGACATTTTAGAAGTTTATAATAATTGTTATTTTCGTCTCTCCAAGTATTTTACTCTCTGTGATTGTTTAATACTTTCCATATATTTGTTTTCTTTGTATTTATATTCAAAGTACGAGACGAGTCATGCTACGAGAGACGAGTCGTGTTGCTATCATAGTTTAGAGCAAATGCCTCGTGCTACTAGGGATGATTCATGCCTGTATGTTGAATGCAACAACCCTCTTGATCAATATTTCAAACTTGTAGTTGTGAAATATTGAGTATTTCAAACAAGATTGCAATTAATGGCCGATGTTAAATCTCATTTATGCAGTTAGTGGTGAATTTTTTACCCTAGGATTTTTCTCAAAAATTAATATCTCAAACCTTAATTTTAATTATCAATTTAATTATTCAATTTCATTTAATTCTTGTTTAGTCATAATATCCATCAAACTTTTTAATCAAAATTAATTTAGGAATCTAGCAATTAAATTAGTTTAATTTCTCGTTTGTCCCTGTGATCGATACCTGGACTTACCATTATTCTAAAGAATTTGATATAGTTTAGTATTTATTTTTGGTGTGTGAAACGACCCATCAAATTTTGGCGCCATTACCAGGAACTTATGGTGAAATTGAGTAATTTAAAGTTATATTCTGATTTTAATTTTTAATTTAGGATTTTATATTTTTGTGTTGCTAAGTCTGCAGAGTGTTTGCAAGTGGAGCTATCACCGAAGTGCTAGTGGAGCGCAACCGAACTTTAAAAACAAACCGCAGCACCAAAGTGCTTAAAAAAAAAGAAAAGCAAATACTCGCAAGCAAAGCACAAAAGTGCTACAACTAGAGAGCTCAAATGGAAACGTCTACACATCAAGCATCCGTAAGACAAGTAAAGCGTTTTCGTTAAATCGCTGTGAGTATTCTCTTCTTTGGTATTTTAAGTGGAGCTATCACCGAAGTGCTAGTGGAGCGCAACCGAACTTTAAAAACAAACCGCAGCACCAAAGTGCTTAAAAAAAAAGAAAAGCAAATACTCGCAAGCAAAGCACAAAAGTGCTACAACTAGAGAGCTCAAATGGAAACGTCTACACATCAAGCATCTGTAAGACAAGTAAAGTGTTTTCGTTAAATCGCTGTAAGTATTCTCTTCTTTGGTATTTTTGCTTTCATAACCTAGTGCATAGAGTCGGAACTTAGTGTGTGTGTGAGTAGTGCATGCACGAGCGCCGTTCTTGTCGCCCTGCATTGTGGAATTTGGACTTTGAACTAGAAAGGACTCTTAGGAAACTTAGAGTCTCTGTCCGTGTTCCTAGGCTTGAATACCCTTATCCATACTTCGAACCAATAGAGATGGAAAATTCGAATGGCCTAAATAGGCCCAATCGGACCCTTAAGGATTACTTCACACCCACTGCATATACATTACTATCATGCATTCAGTTACTCGACACCACTACTGCGCATTATGAGATTAAGTCCAGCACCATCCAAATGCTTCCATCATTCCATGGACTAGCTCATGATGACCCTTACAAACATCTGAATGAATTTCTGAAAATTTGCTCTACAATGAGGATCTAGAATTTCACCAATGAGACCCTAATGTTGCGTTTGTTTCCATTTTCATTAAAGGACAAAGCCAAACACTAGCTGAACTCCTTACCTACAAATTCAATCATAACTTGAGACTAATTACAACAGAGGTTTTTGGAGAAGTACTTTCCCTTTTGTAAGACTAACCAACTCAGGCGAGCCATCACCAATTTTGCTCAAATTGATGGCGAACAATTTCATGAGACATGGGAGAGATTTCGTGACCTTCTTCACCAATGTTCCCACCACCAAGTGCCTAATTGGCAACTTGTGCAGACCTCTTACTATGGGTTAACTGAGCCTCACTGCCAAATGGTGGATTCTTCTTGTGGTGGGACATTTATGTCCAAAAAAGACGCTGGGGCATAGTAATTATTTGAGAACTTAAGTGATAATTCCGTTCACCATGCCTCTGCAACCCGACAAGTCTGGTAACCAGTAATTGGAGCCCCAAAAAGATGGGACATTTATGAGGTAGGGCAAAACTTAGAGTTAGCCCAATAGGTAGAGGCATTGTCCCAAAAAATGGACCAATTATTAGCTGCGGGACATGCCCCTATACAACAAGATTAGCCTCAATTTCACGAGACATGTGCTATATGTGCCAGCCCAGCTCATGACTTAAGTGAGTGCCCTTCGGCATCACAATTTCTAGAGTTAGTCTAAGAGCATGTGAATGCGGCTCAAGGATTCTTTAACCTGGGTAATGACCCATATTCCAATACATATAATCTGGGATGGAGAAATCACCCTAATTTTTCATGGAGACCTCCTTCACAAAGCACTTCTTACAATCCTCCACCACCAAGGCAGAATTTTAATAATTTTGCCAACTAATCTTCCTACCGGCTACTACAACCTTATCGAACTCCACAACCTTACCAACAACCACAACCCCCGCATGTTCCTCAAGGTAACTCGGCCTTTGAGACTTAGGTGTTAGAAGTTCTCTCAGAACTTAAGGGGTTAGCACCAGTAGTTCACTCTCATA